CTCAATGATACAATTAACCCTTTGGAAAATACTAATAAAAAATGGTTTGTTAATCTTTCCAACACAGACATTCCGCCTAACGTTTCTAATCTGTTGCAAATGGGTGATAAATTCTGTCTTCCGAATATTAGTAAAAAAACAGCGATACATGAATTCATCAAGGACATAGAGAGTAATAGCAAACGAAATAATATTAATAATCTCACAACGATCAGAAATATCGCGGTTCCAAAATTTGCACAACTTCTGAACACGAAGGATAAAAATGACGTAAGTCAACAAAAATTACTTGGTGCACACAGAGATTTAATAAAATTTTGTAAAGACAATCCGAATGTTCTATTCACACGCGCGGACAAGGGTAATGCTACGGTGGCAATGGAAAGATCTCATTATATTAACAAAATGGAAAACGTTTTAAAAGATGTCAACACTTACACTATTGTTAAAAAAAATCCGTGCAAAAAAATAGAGAACGATTTGAATGATTTGTTGAAGAGATGGCTTAAGGAAGATTATATTTCAAAAAACGAATATTATAAATTACGTTGTAGTGATTCTCTCCTTCCAAAAGCGTATGGATTACCTAAAATCCATAAGGAAAACTATCCAGTTAGAATCATAGTTTCATCGGTTGATACAGCTCTATACTCGCTGGCTTCGTTTTTACAAAACACCTTACGAACTAGCCTACCCAAAGCGAAAAGTCATATTAATAATAGTTTTGATTTGTACAGCATATTGTCTGGTAAAAAGATTGATGAGAATGATAGGATGTTTTCCTTGGATGTGGTGTCTTTGTTTACGAACGTTCCTCTGGATCTTGCGATTGACGGTATTAACGATAGATGGGATTACATTGGAATAAATACTAAAATACCGAAAAACGAATTTTTGGGGGGTATAAAATTCATATTGACTTCTACATATTTTACATTTGATGACATAATTTATAAACAGACGTTTGGGACCCCTATGGGGTCACCGTTATCACCAATTATTGCAGACCTGGTTATGCAAGATCTTGAGGATACAGTTCTCAAAGCGTTGAATTTGGAATGTTTGTTTTATTTTCGTTATGTGGATGACATAATAGTGGCCACCTCTATGACTAATATGACTCAGATTGTGAATAATTTTAACAACTATCATGAAAGACTTAAATTCACGGTCGAACAAGAGGTTAACCATAGCTTGAATTTCTTAGATTTATCACTTAAAATTATTAATAACAAAATATATATAGACTGGTATCAAAAAGAAACCTTCTCAGGAAGGACGTTATCATTTTATTCAAACCACCCATTATGCCACAAAATTGGAATAATATATAACCTTGTAGACAGATGTCTATTGCTATCACATCCACTATTTTTTAATAAAAATTTGGAGTTAATTATTAATATACTCAGAAGCAATGGTTACCCTCTTGATCTGATTTTTAACAAAATTAATCATCGGATAGAACACATCATATCTAAGGGGAGCATTATAGAGAGACAGGCCAACATAGAAAGAACAAAAAGTATAGGAAATGACTCGGTCAATAAAAAATTCTTTGTCATTCCGTATATAGATGGGATCTCAGAAATGATTGTTTCCTCGGTAAAAAATAAAAATTGTATGGTAGGGTATAGATGTCTCAACAAACTGGATAATATTATTAAAGCGCAGAAAGATAAAACTAAACATCCATGCAATTCGAATGTGGTTTATAAGATCAGTTGCAATAATTGTAATGCATCTTATGTAGGCCAAACAAAGAGGCAATTGCAGACGCGAATGAAAGAACATAAAAATAATATTAGATTGGACTCAACGAAACATTCAGTAATTTCTGAACACATAATAAATGAACATCATACTTTTAATTGGGACAATGTTAAGATCATGGACAACGAAAATAATTATTATAAAAGACTCATTTCTGAGATGCTACATATCAAGGAACAAAAAAATGGACTAAATTTAAACAAAGATACTGAGTTACTTAGCGAGTCGTATTTTGATATTTTGGATATATTAGCGAACAAGAAATAATAATAGGACAAATAGGACATTAACGAGTAAAACATAGATATTAGATCATATATAAACACGCACGCTCTCCGATCAAGTAGAGTTTAAAATGAGCTGTCTTTCTGTATTGTTGGTTTGTTATGTGTCATCCTTAATAACTGTTAATAAGTAGCAAAATTGTCAAGAAGAACGATGATAGGTAAGCATACTACCAATTGTAGGGGATACATATTATAATTTGGACATACGTTGATCGGTAATTTTTTATTAATCGCAGCGCCTACGGAACGGGTTAATTTCTCGCATATTAACGATGAAACTATCCGAGATCTGAACAAAATCAGGGATCATATCGAGGCGAACATTGTTGGACAGGACGGATTGAAACACGCGTTAATTGCTCAAAAACTCTTGATTCTGAATAACTATAATTAAATTTCGATATTATGTGCATTGTAAGAATTTATATTTCAATAATTATACTGAAGAAGACCGCGTGCGGTCGAAACGTTTATAGAATGATTGTAATTTGCGTTAGTTTTAATATAATGACTGTAGTTTTATAATTTATACATGTAATAAATGGTAGTTGACTGAACATCTCGAATATTCAGCTCGATAAGTTGGCCTTATATTTATCACTTTGTTTTCAATATACGAGCGACAATTGTATTAATTTATAGTATATTGTGTATCAAGTGCGGAAAGTTGACAATTGGTCACGAGTGCGGGGGATGGACGCACGAGCCGAAGGCGAGTGCGACCACTCCACACGAGTGAACAATTGTCAATCCGCACTTGATACACATACTATTTTGTATTGCAAGTGCAGGCAAAGTGGCTGTTTCGGCGTGTTTTCTGTGCGCGAGGCGGCCGATCGCACGCCGCCATCTTGCTGCGGCACGGTGGGGGAATAGCCGGTTTCAATACATTTTCTACGGCTTGAGCCGTATACAATGACTTTTAACGCGGCTCAGCCGTAGATAATGGCTTTGAAACCGACTTATTCACTCACCGTGTCACCGCTAGATGGCGGCGAGGGAAATCGGCCGCTTTCGGCACAAAAAACATGCACCGAAAGTGCCACATTGCCTGCACGTGTAATACAAAAAAAATTTTAAGTACACGGTTCGCGACTTTTTAATTTTTTTTGTGACTAGTATTCGCGATTTCAAATTTCTTTGATTTGTGTTATCGTCGAAAATTTATGTATACACGGCAACAGCGACATAAGCCGCGAAACGCGAGAAGAAAAATTTTACGCGTATCGAGAACTTGTATATTCTGCGTTTTATATTTATTCTTGTAATTTAAATGGACGAGTCTCAGACCGAGAGCGACGGGCGACAAAATAACGTTAAGTACAGCGAAAATTCTTCACGTATAGGTTGTCGGTATTTATTAGCATTTATTTATTACATTATTGTTATTCATTATTATTTATTTATTATTTATTTTTTTGTCACGTCATATTTATTCTCGATTTGGCGCTCGAATTTATAACGGCGAGCAAATGGTAACATTCGACTCGGTCTGCCATCGAAAAAAAAAAACTTGTGAAAACAGTGCATCACGCAAACGTATCGTGCTATCGGTATAGCACTGGCGGGGGAGTACTGTGGCGATTACATCGTCACATACTTCCCTGAAATTAATAGCGAAAACACGTATATAAATACGGACATACATACATACGAACACTGACTAATAAACATAAATAAAATATAACAGACGAGACGAAAGACGAAAAACATCGAGACGCAACAGAAAAGAAATAAACGGATAGAACATTTTCGAAGCCTATCGAAGGTGAATTTTTATGGAACGATAGGAAGAGCGTTACACATGCTAGAGGATTCCGCTACCGACAGTCGCCGCGGACAGTCGCACGTTTGTTAATCCGCACGAACTTTATATATCTCTGTACCGATATTGAAAGATTGTTCTTAAAATATATTCAGTGTTAACCATAAATCCTCTCTCACAATTATTTGAATTCCCGTCTCGTATCGACGCGTCCAAGTAATCGCGACGCGCGCGTAATTAACCAAAATTTCTTTATAAACATCTTCTACGCATACATACACATACATATATACATACATACATACATATATGCATGGATATAAAGAAATATACTAACCTTTTCATCCAGCCTTTTTTGAAAGAAACTCTATGTTGACAAAGAGGCAAACGTTTTGCGTTATATATATTTATGTATGAGAGAGACGAAGATAATATGACTGTCTGTCCTTGTCTAACTGCACGATTGCAGTTTTCTCTATCGTGACATCGCGCAATTAATTTTCTGCTCTGTTTTATTCGAAAATGTCATTTCGCACATACACATGTAAATGAAATATTCCACAATCAAGATCTTTTTTATTAGACTTTTAAACTTATTTCTGCAAGTTCACTAATATTCCTTTATGCAATTTTTTGGAGGAAGCGATCTTATTTTGTACGTATAAATTATGAAACTTTTATACAAGCAAACATTGTTATGACGTGACGTAAGAAGCAAAAAAAAACTCGTATATAAAAATTTAAAGTATATAAAAATTTTTTCTCTTGCATTCATTTATTTATTTTCCGTGGGGGGGTTAAAGGGGTATTGAAATTAAATCTCAAAATATGAGATTATTTCATATTTAAAATCTTGGCCGTGTCCAAGTAAAAATTTGGTGCCTTGTGCACCGGTATTTAATTCTAACGAAAAATTATTTAGTTTCGTTAGGATAACGCATTGTCATCCGCGATTTGGCTCTTGTTGCCCGTCTTATACGTTAAATTTATATTTATATTACAGAGCCTTGTTAAAACTCTTATATTTAAAAATTTTTTGTTTTTTTATCACAAATTCAGACCGCTCCCTCCTTTATTATTGTATTAACTTTAATCGTGAATCATAATGCTAATGAGTAAAAATTATATGATAAAACATTATATAATGTTAAGAATTATTATGTGTTGCAGACTATTATTACAAAATTTATATAGAAGCTGCTTTTATATAATGAAATTTAAAGAGACTGTGAATGACGAAATATTGACAAAAGAATCACATAAGGTCAATTATGAAATGAAAATTGTTTGGAAAAATGTAATAATTTTCACTTATATTCATCTTTCCATCCTTTACGGATTATATCTGTTTGCCTTTTACGCCAAACTGTGGACGATTATCTGGTGTATGTTTTTTATTTATTTGTTATTATTCCATAAGATTTTAAACTACATTGCACATATTCAATACAATAATAAAAATAAAATACATATATTGTATGTTATCGAATAATTATTTGTAATTTATAGTTTATATTATTGCTGTTCTTTCGGGTTTTGGCATTACTGCTGGCGCTCATAGATTATGGTGTCATCGGTCTTATAAAGCGAAATGGCCACTGAGACTCATTCTTGTAATTCTCAATGCTGCTGCTCTCCAAGTAAGTTTATTGTTAATGTTTTTCTTCTCGTTCAAGTGTATTGTAAACTTTTGTTAGCTATTATTTAGAGTTCTACATTTTATTTCTGTTTTTGTGGTATTATTCAAATTTTATTAAGCTATAATTTTTAGGATAACATTTTCGTGTGGGTTAGGGATCATAGAACGCATCATAAATTCACTGACACTGATGCGGATCCGTATAATGCGCGTAGAGGATTTTTTTTCTCGCATATCGGATGGCTTATGGTTCATAAACATTCGGACGTCATTAACAAGGGTGCTACGATTGACATGAGTGATATAGAACGAGACCCCCTCGTGGTCTTTCAAAGAAAGTATGACAGGCATAACTTATTTTTACGGGACCAAATAAAGCATTGTTCGTTTGACTTTATATATTGATATTATTTTTTTTATTCATACTTCTTTTTAGATGGTATTCATATTTGGTAGTACTCTGTTGCTTTATCATACCAATATTAGTACCATGGTTGGCATGGAATGAGAGTTTCTGGTATGCATGGCACATGTCCGTGTGCAGATATGGTTTAAATTTAAATTTTACTTGGGCGGTGAATTCTGTGGCTCACTTATGGGGTGAAAAACCATATAATAAGTATGCATTTGTGCAGTATATGTGACTTATTATGTACAAATATATATGTATATATATTTATTTATTTAAAATTAGTGAATCGTATTTATAATAATTCATATCGTTGCTTAAAAATTACACAAGCACACAAAAAAACAAAAGTGGTATGTCCGAAAGACTAGACTCCCTACTCCTTGGTTTTTTGGTCCTCTGAATCCAAATCCGTTTAACTCCATTAAGTCTCAGTTTTTTATAACCTCAAAAAATATGAAATTTCGGGGTAAATTCGACTTTATATGAAAAAATCATTCAACTCTCAGCTGAAATTTAATGGAAACGTTATGCCGATGATATATGTCGATGTACTGAACTATCATATCTATTTATACTAGAGATACTTTGCATACCTTCTTGAAATACGAGATCACTGCAAGAAGGAAGCTATATTTACCGTGAGTAGCGCGCTCTCTTGCTCTCAAACGTTCTGTGTAAAGGCATTCGTTTTTTTGCTTTCTCGCTCTTTGTAGTATATCTCTTTTCAGTGTCCAGTAATAGTCAGCCATCATATTTACATTCCACCTTTCTTGATATCGACGTTCTATTTCTCTGATATCTTGATGGAATCGTTCTCCTTGCTTTTCGCTATAATCGCTGAAATTTTTTGGGAACCAATCAAGATGCGAATCTAAGAAATGTATCTTCAAATTCATCAGACATCCTAATTCCTTAGTTTTCAATGATTTTTCCCACCAATTCCTTATAATCTGGATTTCTGTGATTTTTTAAAAAATTTCCGACAAAAATTTCATTCATTTTTGTAGCAAAGATCCCATCTTTTAACAATGTATGAATCTGAGGGCCGTTGAATATTCCTTCCTTCAATTTAGCGTCAGAGATGTTAGAAAACGTTTGTCCTATGTAGCGAAAACAATCACCTTCTTTGTTTAAAGCCTTTACGTATTGCTTCATTAAACCAAGTTTTATATGGAGAGGCGGAAGTAAAACTTTTGATTTGTCAATCAACGATTTCTTGATTATCTTCATGGATCCAGGTTTCATTGTGTTCCTTTCTGGCCATATTTTTATCCTCTTTTAGAGCAGTTGTCATCGCCCGTACTGTTCATCATGTCAGCAGATTCAGTACCCAAGTAGCAAACTAACGTCACCAAAAAAACGTCAAAATGATGTCATTTTGCTACCTGGGTAATTTCTATCTGAACATGACTTCATCATGTAATGGATGCAAGAAGTATTCAACTTCTTATAGATCGGAAAAATAAGTCATAAACACAAAATCATTGTGTTTTTTACGGCACGAAGACAATCGATGGTCCATTTTTTATTCATCGCATCCAAGTAGAGAGTGCACTATTTACAGTAAATATAGCTTCCTTCTTGCTGTGATCTCGTATTTCAAGAAGGTATGCAAAGTATCTCATAGTATAAATAGGTTTATGATAGTTCAATACACCGACATATATCATCGGCATAACGTTTCCATTAAATTTCAGCCGAGAGTTGAATGATTTTTTCATATAAAGTCGAATTTACCCCAAAATTTCATATATTTTGAGGTTATAAAAAATTGGGATCTGATGGAGTTAAACGGACCTCGGATTTTGATTCAGAGCACCAATAAATCAAGGAGTAGGGGGGTCTCTTGGACATACCACTTTTGTTTTTTTGTGTAACAGTGTTATTATTATATTATATAGATCAATCAGCTCTACCGACAATATTGCAGTTTCTATCATGGCTCTTGGCGAAGGCTGGCACAATTATCATCACATTTTCCCTTGGGATTACAAAACAGCGGAATTTGGAAATTATGGGTTGAATTTTACCACAGCATTTATCGACTTCTTTGTTTATTTAGGTTTAGCTTACGATTTAAAAACTGCATCCGCCGACATGATAAAAAACGTTCTCTTCAAAGCAATGAAAATAAGAGTTACTAACTAATCGTGCAAAATTAAAGGATCCCTCGACTGTCTATATTACCCACTATACATGAAATGTATATGTAACATTTCAAATTGTTTCATATAGGTTTCAAATAATACATTCCATTTGTATGTTTATGACATATTTCATAAACATTACTATTGAAACATTTCACAATTACTTATATTATAAATGTTTCTAAAGTAATGTTACAGTAAATATATCTCTAAAACAATTCAAAGTTGCAATGTATGATTTGTTAATTTTGATACATTTATTTCATTATTATATCACAAATATTTGCGAAACATATATTTCGAAATATTTAAGATACATATAAATCATGATATGTTTGAAATTTTCACAGTACAAGTTAGTATGAAATGTTTCAATTGTAACATTTATGAACATTGCGTAAAAATTGTATTTGAAATGTGAATACATATATTTTTACGCAAATAACTGAGTAGTTATTCCGTTGGCCTTTTTGTTTAACCTTAAAAGATATATATTCAATTTTTAATTTTAAAATGTGAATGAATGAATTATTGCAATAGTTATTATTGCATATATGATGTACGATGAGCAACAAAGATAGAATGATGCTTTCAGCGCGTGAGCAGTCAAAGCAAACGCAGCCTTACCTCGTGGTACATACATACAATTCGCAGAGCGTTGAGGATTAACTATACAAAGCGTGTCGTTGTTCGCAGTGCTGTGTGTCGTTGCGTTTTCATTCCGTTTTTACGTACTGTTAAACTATATTTACTTTGACATTTTCTTTTTCTTGTATCTATAAACATTTGTGTCAGTGCAAAATGAGTTCTAATAATACGACGTGCAAAAATAATACACGTGAGCATTCGAGCCAACCATCAACATCATCAAGTTCGGTATGTATTTATATGTGCACATTATATAGAAATGATTATGGAAGAGTATATTTTGTAATGAATTTCTTACGTATATATTTTAACACGTCATAAAGTTATAAGAAAAGTTACAAAAATTGTATGAGTCATCCTAACCCTAAAAATCGATTACACTTCAATTTATTATATTACGTTTACAATGTGTTAGAAAATATACATCATATAAAAATAGATTATTTTTATCGTGCAATATTTATTTATATTCTGTTTTTATTCTAGATATCTCAGAGGAAGAAAAAAGACATATCGAAGGTTACAAATAGACATTTTCGTAGAATCATTAATAATGAATATTCTAAGACTAACAGAGATGAATTACTATTGCATGTTAATAAAATACAGCACTTTTTTAATAGTGAAAAATTTAATAAATTAAAATATAATGAAAATATTTTAAACACAGATAATAGTAGTACTGATGGATATGAAGATAATTTAGTTTGCAACAATAGTAGTACCAATGATGAATATAAAACTATTAATTTAGTTTGCAACTCTTCTGAAAATAAGCAAATACATTTTAATGTTGATAAAGATATATTTAAGTCGCAGAGTAACATTAATTTAGCAGATAAGATTGCTCATTGGATTATTACAAATAATATCTCGCATAATTCTGCAAATGAGTTATTATCAATAATGAAATCAGAAAACTTGCCTGTTCCAAAAGATTGTAGAACATTGCTAAAAACTCCTTCATTATGTAATATTATAAATATGCCACCTGGTGCATATATACATTTAGGTATTGAAAAAGGCATAATTGAAAAGATAAAGAATATTTTAACAGACAATTTAGAAATTCTACCATTAACAATTAATATTGATGGCTTACCGTTGAGAAAATCATCAAAGAGTCAATTTTGGCCTATTTTAATGTCAATTGATGTATTAGAAATTTCAGAACCTTTTATTGTTGGCATTTATCATGGATTTAAAAAACCAGAGACAGTAATGAATTTTTTAGAAGCATTTGTGGAAGAATATTTGTTTTTAAGAAAAAATGGTATTAATATAAATAATAAGATTGTTAGACCAATATTAACAAAAATTATTTGTGATGCACCTGCTTTAGCATTTGTTCTATCAATAAAATTTCATACAGGCTATTTTGGTTGCAATAAATGCACGCAAAAAGGTAAATTTGTTAGAGGCAGAATGACTTTTCCAGAACTTGATGTTTTATTAAGAACTGATGAAAGTTTCGCGTTACATTTACAAGAAGAACATCATAAAGGTTCCACTCCTTTAGAAAAAATAGGAATCGGTTTAGTTAGTAATGTGCCGCTTGATTACATGCACTTAGTCTGCCTTGGTATAATGAAAACACTTATATTGTTTTGGATTGGAAAAAAGGGAAATAATCGGTTAAAATTAAAGAATCATGATATAAAATCAATATCAAAAATTATGAAGATGTTCCGAAAATATATCTGTGAGGAGTTTTGTCGTCTACCAAGAGCTATAGAAGATGTAGAACATTGGAAAGCAACAGAATTTAGACAATTTCTTTTATATACAGGTCCTATTGCATTGAGAGAAAAATTGCCTAAAATTCAATATAAACATTTTTTGTGTTTACATGTCGCTATAAGAATTTTATGTTCATCAGAGTGCATCAGGCTTAATGCATATGCAAAATCTTTAATTCGATATTTTATTGAAAAGTACAAGAAAATATATGGTAATGAATATATTACATATAATGTGCATAATCTTTTGCATCTTTGCGACGATGTTTTATCATTTGGAAAAGTTGATAACTTTAGTGCATTTAAATTTGAAAGCTATATGAGTCAAATAAAAAAAAAATGAAGAATTCACGGTATCTTTTACAACAAATATATAATAGAGTTGTTGAAAATAGAAAGCTTCTAACATCTATTAACAAGTCTGATTTATGTGAAAAAGACGACAAACCTTTAATAATTAATGAAGGTGGAAAAATTTATAGATATTACAAAAATTTTCTTTTGGAAATTTTACAATATCATTAACTCAAAGAAATAACTGTGTCCTTTTAAAAAATTCTACTTATATGCTTATTTCTAATATTTATAAAAATGAAAATAATGATATAAAAATAGTTGGAAAAATTTTCCAAAATATATCCAATTTTATAGAAAAGCCTTCATTTAATTTATCTATAAAAGTCATTGATATACATGAAACATCAAATACATCAACATTCGATTATAAAGATATTAAAGCAAAATGTTTAGTTTTACCAATGGATAATAAATTTGCAGTAATTCCATTATTACACAACAATTTGTAATATCTATTACTAAAATTATGTTCATACATGTAAAATTTAAATAACTTATTTTGGCAATAACACTAACGTAATAAATTTTATTTAATTTATGTTGAATTAAATATGTCACTTTTGGTAAAATTTTAATCACAATAAAATTTTATTATAATTAATAGCAAATTAAAAATTTTAATAGTAATTTAATAAAAATACGTCAGTAGTTATTCTCTCTGGTCTTTTAAGGTAACATTTATCATCATTGTTATATAAAGAGTATCTCTAGGTTAAGTATGATTAAATAAACTTTTAAGTATAATTAAAGTTTTAAAATTTACATTTTCAAACGTTTTTAAATATTTTTATTGTTTGCAGTTACCTTATTCAGTTGTAAGATTTAATACTGAATACGAAGAAGACGATGAAACATATTCTGTGATCCCGAGTACATGGTTAAAAGAAAATGATAAATATTCATATTGGCCGAAAAAGGATACACGGAATTGCATCATAAAATGTAAAAAACCACAGAATGACTGGATTATTCACCCGGTTACTGTAATTGCTAAATATAGTAAGCATGTTATTTTTTTGCATAATTAATAATCGTATATGTATAAACATATAAATTTAGCTGAAGCTAAATACTGCGTATAAAATATTATAATAACATCTTGAAAAAATTAATTTTCATAGATTCATATGAACATGCTATCCAGAAAGAGAAGAGATTAATGGAAGAAAAAAGCAATACCGAATCAGAATCCCAATTAGGTCGTGGACTTCGAAAGAAAATAGTTTCATATCGCATTTCGAAAGAAAATGGTATAAAAATTTTCTTTAATAAAATTTATTGGAAATTATTTCTTTGAGCTTGATAAATGAATATAATTATTCTTTTCGATGTTATTTTACTTTCATATAAGATAATATTAAGATATTTTCTACATAATGTTAAACAATACTAAACAGATATTTCAGATAGCTCTAATAGTAGCTCAAGTAATAAAATCAGCGATTGTGATTCCATTCCCGAATTAAATGAAAACTTACACCAACAAGGTATAATCACGAAATTCTACATTTTATTTTTTATATTTTTTTCCTTTATAGTTAAATATATTAAAAAATAAAGAAGTAAAATTTTATAATAAATGTGTTTTTCAGATAATGATATTAATCAAAATATTGATGATAATGATACACAAATCTTGGACATAAATGAAATTCCTATTGTTATACAAGCAGAAGACAGCAATATTATTCCTGCAAAAGATGTTATTCCTATAGACAATCATAGTAAGTTATTACACGTATACATGCATCATACATACATATACACATATGCACACATACACATATACGCGCGCGCGCATTCACACATATATAATAACTTTATTTAATAATTCTTACAAAAATTATTACTCTTAAAAAAATTTACATGTATTAATAATTATTTACATAAAATTTTATTTATAAAGAATATTTTATTCATATTAAATAAAGTTATGTGTGTGCACAATAATTATATAATTTAAATCAAATATAAGTTAAAATTAATTAATGAAAGGCTCGTATGAATTAACAAAATTAAACAAATCATATATAGTAGGCCAACTGAACGAGCAAATAAATAAGGTGTAAAAATTTTTATTAATAGTTAAATAATTAAATTAACATTCCGTTACAGAATCGATATAAATTGTAAACGTTTCGACTGCACTACAGTCTTTATCAATACATAAAAGTTAAATATTAAAATACAAAGTTAAATGTTAAAAATACAAAGTTAGTTAAATATTAAAATATAAAATTGAAACGATTCTTCGCTGTTGACCAATAGATATGCAAGGCGATTGGTCTGAGATGCCAAGTTATGCGACATTTGAGCATGCTACGGATATAATACGCGAATTAAATCAATGTCAGAGAAAATTAAAAAATCTTTTAACTTACATTATCGTTTTAACAAGTCCTTTTCCCCGATATTTCAAGTGTGTGTTGCGAAGTCTGAATACCAAATGTCAAAATAGAGAGCGTGATGTATTTATTTATTACCAATGTTTTTTCTAAATTATGATTCAGCAAATTTTTTAAGTATGTCAAAATAACTACTGTCTAACAATTCGGTGTCTGTATTTAAATTAATTCCATTTTTCTGTTCTTTAATGTGGATCATTTCAGATATTAGTCTTTTATGGTAATTCTTTTCATGATCCATAATTTTAATATTGTCCCAGTCAAATGTATGTTGTTCGTTTAGAATGTGTTCCGTGACAACCGAATGTCTAACAGAGTCTAATTTAATATTATTTTTATGTTCTTTAAGTCTCGTTCCTAACTGTCTTTTTGTCTGTCCGACATATGTGGCGTCACAATCGTTGCAATTCAATTTATAAATAACGTTAGAATTCGTGGGGCAATTATTTTTGTCCTTTTGAACTTTTATGAAGTCATTCAATTTTTTAATGCAACGATATCTTACCACTACGTCAGGTCTTCTTATTGCTGAAGCAACTTTCTCAGATATTGATTCTATATATGGTATGACAAAATATTTAATATAAGAGTTTTAACAAGGCTCTGTAATATAAATATAAATTTAACGTATAAGACGGGCAACAAGAGCCAAATCGCGGATGACAATGCGTTATCCTAACGAAACTAAATAATTTTCCGTTAGAATTAAATACCGGTGCACAAGGCACCAAATTTTTACTTGGACACGGCCAAGATTTTAAATATGAAATAATCTCATATTTTGAGATTTAATTTCAATACCCCTTTAACCGCCCTACGGAAAATAAATAAATGAATGCAAGAGAAAAATATAGATCCGAAAATCGCTGAATCGGGAATCGAACCTGAGACCTTTCGCTTGCCGGGCGACTGCTCTTCCAGCTGAGCTATTCAGATCCTTTCGATTCTATACTTTTCTCTGTTATATATATTAATGTTGGTAAACAAACGCATTTTTTAAGCCAGCGTGTATCAAATATAAGAGTTTTAACAAGGCTCTGTAATATAAATATAAATTTAACGTATAAGACGGGCAACAAGAGCCAAATCGCGGATGACAATGCGTTATCCTAACGAAACTAAATAATTTTCCGTTAGAATTAAATAACGGTGCACAAGGCACCAAATTTTTACTTGGACACGGCCAAGATTTTAAATATGAAATAATCTCATATTTTGAGATTTAATTTCAATACCCCTTTAACCCCCCTACGGAAATAATCTCAAAATATGAGATTATTTCATATTTAAAATCTTGGCCGTGTCCAAGTAAAAATTTGGTGCCTTGTGCACCGGTATTTAATTCTAACGGAAAATTATTTAGTTTCGTTAGGATAACGCATTGTCATCCGCGATTTGGCTCTTGTTGCCCGTCTTATACGTTAAATTTATATTTATATTACAGAGCCTTGTTAAAACTCTTATATTTGATACACGCTGGCTTAAAAAATGCGTTTGTTTACCAACATTAATATATATAACAGAGAAAAGTATAGAATCGAAAGGATCTGAATAGCTCAGCTGGAAGAGCAGTCGCCCGGCAAGCGAAAGGTCTCGGGTTCGATTCCCGATTCAGCGATTTTCGGATTTATATTTTTCTCTTGCATTCATTTATTTATTTTCCGTAGGGGGGTTAAAGGGGTATTGAAATTAAATCTCAAAATATGAGATTATTTCATATTTAAAATCTTGGCCGTGTCCAAGTAAAAAAAAAATTTGGTGCCTTGTGCACCGGTATTTAATTCTAACGGAAAATTATTTAGTTTCGTTAGGATAACGCATTGTCATCCGCGATTTGGCTCTTGTTGCCCGTCTTATACGTTAAATTTATATTTATATTACAGAGCCTTGTTAAAACTCTTATATTAAATATTTTGTCATACCATATATAGAATCAATATCTGAGAAAGTTGCTTCAGCAATAAGAAGACCTGACGTAGTGGTAGGATATCGTTGCATTAAAAAATTGAATGACTTCATAAAAGTTCAAAAGGACAAAAATAATTGCCCCACGAATTCTAACGTTATTTATAAATTGAATTGCAACGATTGTGACGCCACATATGTCGGACAGACAAAAAGACAGTTAGGAACGAGACTTAAAGAACATAAAAATAATATTAAATTAGACTCTGTTAGACATTCGGTTGTCACGGAACACATTCTAAACGAACAACATACATTTGACTGGGACAATATTAAAATTATGGATCATGAAAAGAATTACCATAAAAGACTAATATCTGAAATGATCCACATTAAAGAACAGAAAAATGGAATTAATTTAAATACAGACACCGAATTGTTAGACAGTAGTTATTTTGACATACTTAAAAAATTTGCTGAATCATAATTTAGAAAAAACATTGGTAATAAATAAATACATCACGCTCTCTATTTTGACATTTGGTATTCAGACTTTGCAACACACACTTGAAATATCGGGGAAAAGGACTTGTTAAAACAATAATGTAAGTTGAAAGATTTTTTAATTTTCTCTGACATTGATTTAATTCGCTTATTATATCCGTAGCATGCTCAAATGTCGCATAACTTGGCATCTCAGACCAATCGCCTTGCATATCTATTGGTCAACAGCGAAGAATCGTTTCAATTTTATATTTTAATATTTAACTAACTTTGTATTTTTAACATTTAACTTTGTATTTTAATATTTAACTTTTATGTATTGATAAAGACTGTAGTGCAGTCGAAACGTTTACAATTTATATCGATTCTGTAACGGAATGTTAATTTAATTATTTAACTATTAATAAAAATTTTTACACCTTATTTATTTGCTCGTTCAGTTGGCCTACTATATATGATTTGTTTAATTTTGTTAATTTAGACGAGCCTTTCATTAATTAATTTTAATTATTATATCCTTTTTTACATTTTACTCAATTTTTTTTATTTCTAATGTACCCACCGCTAACCCGCTATTATTAGCTCTCATACAATGTCATAATTCTTCAATTTACAAAATTTCCCTGTATATTACATTTTTTGTAAAACATTTTTCACTTTCTTCAATTAAATGTCCTTGATTGCTACATTCATCAATTTTAATTTTTACACTTTCTCTTTTTATTGCTCTAGAAAATGCCACATAAAGTTGACCATGAGCAAATACAGGATGTGGCAAATAAATTCCAATTTTTTCTAAACTTTGTCCTTGTGATTTATTTATTGTCATAGCAAATGACACTCGAATAGGAAACTGTCTTCGTTTAAACTTAAATGGCAGTTTCAAATCATTTGTAATTAAATCTATCCTCGGAATCATAACAATTTGTCCTCGAGCAGGACCTGTTATAACTTCTACATAAATTATATTATTTTTCAAATTAGTTATAATAAATCTTGTACCATTACAAAGTCCTTTTTTAGTATTTAAATTTCTTAATAAGATTACTGTAGCACCAACTTTTATTTTAAGCCGATGAACTGGCATTCCAGAAGGTGTCAGTGAGTTTAGAAACTCAGTTGGAAAATTTAATTGCTTCTGTGGATCATCACTTACAATACAGTCAATAGAGAGATACTCCTTTTCTTCTCCTTCCATTAGACAAAGAATTTCATCATTAATTTTGAAAGTATCCTCATTTTTAGGACAAAGAATCGCTCGATCTTGATTTTCTCTAATCCTTTTCATGGTAATTCTATCACCAAAAATCTCATTAATAAGAGATTCTTTTGATATAAAATCTTGTGGAATTTCAATCGTGTCTAGATTTAGTCCATCCGTATTTATTATAATTTACCATCTCCGAGTTGCATTAACCAATTTGCAAATTCTTTTTCTTCCGCAGTTCTCATATTTTGCTGTAATTTAACCTTAATTACATTCCTCCATATAGGGTTGTATTTTACAGTCGATTCAATTATCGCTGTTTTGTGTAAATGAGGTACTACTGGAAGATTTTGTCTGAAATCTCCTGCAAATAAAATTACTTTTCCTCCAAATGGTTGATCATTCTTCATTAAATCCTTTAAAAGTTTATCAACTGCTGTTAAAGCATGTCCAACAGTCATGCTCACTTCATCTCATATGATTAATTTTGCATTGATCAATTCTCGTGCAGCTTGAGAATTTCCTCTAATATTTGATTTAGCTGCATCATCAATTGGAATTGTAAGCTTAAACAGAGAATGATAAGTTCTTCCTCCTTTCAGAAGTGTGGCTGCAATTCCAGTTAAAGCACATGGAAGAATTATTTCATTTCTTCCTCGAATAACACTTAGAAATGTGTTAAATAAATAGGTTTTACCAC